TCCTCCTTCTGAATGACTTCCCATGGTAATCTCACAATTATGTTTATTCATCTGTAAAATCTCTACTCTAGATTTTTGGTTAGTGGTTACTGGGGCAATTATGCATTATTTACTTTGTCTATGAATGGCCTTTATCAGCTGGTGTCCACTCCTTTACATTTAAGTATAGAGTTTCTGCTTCTTTCTCCCCTTTAGGGAGATTTGTCAACAACAAAAGGGATTTGTTGTTGAATCATAATCTTACTCATGCCTATGATTTTTGCCATTTGGCTCAAGATTTGTTTCATTTTTTTCTTATAGTACTCCTTTCAAGATTTCTTGTAGGGGAGACCTGGTGGTGATAAACTCCATTAGCTTATGTTTTTCTTGGAAAACTTTTATTTAGCCTTTCTAGTTGATTTATAATTTTGCTTTATAGCATATTCTTGTTTGGGAGAAACAATTACACTCTCTTTCTGTATGGAGCATGGGATGAAATCTGAGAAAAGTCTAGTTTAGGTGTCTTTTTAAATTATTTTTGCTTCTAACATCCTATAAAGTATTTTCTTTACCTTTGATTTTTGTAATACTGATGTAGATTTTTTAGCATTTAGAAATTTGGGTGTTTTCTGTGCTTCTTGAAAATCCGTACTTAATCATTCCTTAGGACTGGGAAATTCTCAGCTGTCTCAGCTATTCATTCTTTAAAAATACCAGTTTCCGGTTTCCTTCTCTCTCTTCACCTTCCAGAATATCCATCATCTTGTTTCCTCTTCTAATAGAGAGTGATATTTCTTATAGTTTTACCATATTCCTGTCTTGTCTTTCTAATTAGGTTATTTGCACCTTCTATTTCTGAAATTTTCTTCTATGATTTTAATTCTATCTAAAATGTTTTCTGTATTTGTTTTCATGTCATTCAGTATATGTTTATGTGATCTTAATTCCTTTCTAAGATTTTGCATCTGCCTATCTGCATTTATCTGACCTTCCAGTAGGTCCTTTAGCATTTATGATATTGTGTTATTCTTTTTCTCATATGTCTTCTATTACTGTATCCTTTATATATGTCCCAGAACTTCTGTTCTCACTTTGCTTTTTCATCTTGTTTTCAGGTGTTCCTTGCTTCCTAGGCATTTGTGTTGCCTTGTTTGGTTGGGGAGCTGTGGGTTTAGTTTTCTTTCTTTACCTTGGCATGAGGTGAGGGGAGCAGGGGCATCTGGAGTAAATAGTCAATCTCAGTTTTGTTGAGTGGGGTCTGTCACTTCCTCTGCTCCCCACATGGATCATAATAAAGTTTGAGTCTCTTGATGAGAAGGCTAGCTCTGGCCCACCAGGCTTCTGCTCTGGTACTCATTGTGTCTGGCAGGCAGAAAGAGGCCTGAAATTGTATGTGCCTTGTTGCTTAATTATGCCCATAGGCAATGGCCTCTATTGTTTCCTCCGCCACTGCTTTCCTCCCTCTGAGGGAACTTGCTTATAGGCTCTGTGTATCCATTTGCTAATTTCCAAGGGATTGGTGAGTTCTCTTTCCAATCCTTTTCTCTGCTATTGAACCCCCAATGGTCTAGCCTAGCCTGCCTCTGCTGGTGACTCTGATTTCTGGAGAGAGTTCAGAGGGCACAACTTTCTTTACCCATACAGGTCACAGAATTCCCAGTGTCTCAGGTCAGACCCATAGCTGTGCATGACTGCCTTTCATTTCTGAAAAGTACCTTCAGGGAGATTCACAGTGTGGCATTGTGCCATGGATAGCTGACTCCCAGCCTGTTCTGCTAGTTCAAGTATCTACTTTTCCTGCCATGCTCTCCAGTCGTTTCCCTGCCTTACCCTTCAGCAAGTCTCTGACCACCAGTGCAGTCCCCTGTGGGAAATTCCTGGGGAGTGTGTCAAAGAATTTCTAAACCTTCCTTTGAGAAAATTTTTATATTTTTAGGGTGAAAATGTAACACCAACCTCTATTCTGCCATGACATGGGTGGAGTCTCCCCATCTTTACATATTTATTGAGACTTGTTTATATCCCAATATATTACCTGTCCTAGAGGATATTCTATTTGTGCTTGATAAGAATAAATATTAATTCCTTTCAGGAAACACAGATTCCTTTCTGTGTTTAACAAACAGCATTTTACAAAGTTTGTTTATTCTGTTACATCATTAAAGGTCACTTTAATGACCTTCCTTGATCTTTGTAGATGTAGTCTCCATTTGATATAAGTGGGGGTGTTTAAGGTATTTCAGTCAATGTCTCCCTTTTGGTCTGTTAATGTTTTAAGTGTTTGGTGCACAAATATTGATGATAGTTGTATCTTCTTAAGAGAGTGACCCCCTTAGTCATTATGTAGTGTTTTTTTTAATGCTTAAAGTCTAATTTATCTGATATGAGTATTGTTTCTGCCTCCCTGTTTCTATTATTAGTTTGATATAACTCCTGAAATCTTTCACTATAATGTCTTTAGAACTGTTGTGGGCTTCTTGTCAACATAAATTATAGGAGGGTCCTGTCTTTTTAAATTACATCCAGCTTCTTTGTGCCTTTTGATTAGTGAATTCAGTCCATGTATTTTTAGGGTGATTATTGATATATATACAGGATTTATTACTACCATTTTATATTTTGGTTTTTGGGATTTTGTATTTGTTTCCTTCTCCATGTGTTTCTCTTTGCATTTGGGTGTTTTCATGAGGGTAAATAATTTGATACATGAGGGTTGTATCCAACTTTACCTGTAAGGTAGTGTTCTTTTTATGTATTAATGTCAACTTATCATCATTAGCCTATACAGACTCTGTCCTTTTCTTCCTCCCCTTTCATGCTTTCTCTTGTCTCATAGAATTCCTGTTCATGCTTCTGATTCTGTTTTCCTGTTTATAACATATTCAAAGTTTTGTGTATATTATTTTTGATAAATTCTATTGACATTATTTGATGGTGGTGAACTCGATTATGTAGGTTTTCTTTGTGTTACTAAATCTTAATTTTCTCTTTTCATTTGAGTCAATACTATAATTGTACTTAAATTTCATTTACCTCTGCAATATCAAGTCTGCTTGTTATGCTTTCCATAGTAGTCTTCATTTAATTCATTACATTTTTCATATGTAACCTACTTGGAAATTTTTTTGTAGCTTTAGTCTCTGAAGAACTCAATCTGCTCCTACTTTCTTACACCATCACTGTTTCATTAATTATCAGAATATATTTTATGTATTTTGTTGGTTTTCTTTATGACAATTTTGAATTTACTGTCTAGAAGATTGTACCTTCCAATCTGTGTCTTTAAGTTTGATTTCTTGAATATTGTCATTCTGCTATAATTCTTGACATTCCTGAATATCCGAATGTGTTCCTTTGTTTTTCTAGTAGGTAGTGTTGTATCTTTAGCTTTGTAATTCTGCTTTACAGAGTCTGGTCAGAGAGAAAGTGGGGTAACACTTTCCCCTCAGAACTCTGGTGGGGGAAGGCCAACCTAGACATAAAGCTCCATAAAGTCCCATGTTGTTGCTCTCCCTTTGTGAACAGACCAGTTCCTAAACTGAACACAAAGCCTCTGTTCCTAATTCCTGCTTCTAGGTCTAGTTATAGGTTTTTGTGATCTGAGGTGGTTTAGCTCTGATCTCAAGACTATTAGATTCCCTTTTTAAAAGATTTAGTCATTTATGCATACAAGAGCAGGGGTGTAAGGCAGAGGTGTGTGTGGGGGGGGTGTGTGTGAGAGGATTCACCAGAGAGCGTGGCCAGCAAAACAAGTGGATGTACTGAAGTATACTGCTGAGGGGAGCAGTGGGAGAGACAGGAGAGGTCTGCTGCGCCATGTGGGTTGCTCCCTTGCCAGGTAGGAATCGAACTCATGCTGCAGAGGGTGGTGATAGCTTGATAGTGCTGTCTTTAATCCCTGTCCCACCAGGGAGGCCTTCAGACTATTAGATTCTTGAGGGTACTGAGGCCAGAATGCCACTGCCTATGACAATCACAGGAACTCAAGATCTGGTCCCAACACCAGCAGAGACTGTTCATCTTCACATGTACTATGTAGCTTCTGGAGTCCTGGTGTGGGTGTTTCTACTGTCTTGTTCCCCCAACGGTGCAGTCACAGGTATAGCAGCACCTCTGAATCCCCTCTCCACTTGAAAATTGTTTGTGAATTATAGATGATCTCTGGTTGTGCTTTAAGGGGATGTGCATCTATAGCTGTTTATTTGATCACATCTGTCACGCCCACCTAATGTTCTTTTATGGTAAAATTGTCTTAAGGCAAATTAGTTAAGTGGTGAAAATGTCTACAGCAAAGAAGTTATGGTAGAGAGAATTTATACTTATACAGGATCAAATAGACAAAAAAGAGAAAAGGCAGGATTTGGTCTCTGCAGTAGAATATTTTTTTTTTTTTTGTGGGACCCTCGCCGGCGGCTGGGGAAAGAACTGGCACTGCAGAGGCTGTGGGCAGCCTCGCAACCCAGCGCTCAACCGCTGCGCCACCAGGGGAGGCCCTGAAGTAGAATCTTTTAAACTATGAAGTATATTGAAACTTGACCTAAAGTCAACTAATAATAGAACAACTCTCAGTTATTTCTGCCATCACACTATTGATATTAGCTATTTTTTTTTCATTTTTTTTCTTTTAAAACCATAGAGCCATTGGACAAAATTAATCAGTATTAAAAGATTAACAAAATAGTCATACAATGGAAAATCATAACATTTTCATCATTCCCAGGTTAATATATACACTATAGTATAAATAATATATATATAGCAATGGTTACTGAGTATATGGATTAGCTGAGCTTTAAAGCTTAGTTAGCTTAAAAGCTATTCCATATAATTGTGGCTGATTCTATTTCATAGTGTGTATAATAGGGAAAATAAACTTACCTCCAATTTTCAACACTGTCAGTGATTTCAGCTACCAACCTCCAAACAGTAATGCACAGAAGTTTATTAAAACTATTTACCTCAAAGCATAGGGTATTTCCAGAAGTAAATAAACCTAGAACAGCCAACATCTCAATCTCTTGAGCACTTTATTTGTTATAAATACAAGTCACCACAAGATGGCACCTTCTTACTTTCAACATCTACAGTTATAAACAATTATCTTCATAAAATGGTTTCAATGTGTTGTCTCAGATATTGAAACCTTATAAAAGCAAGACTTGCTACAAACAGGATTGGTGTTCGATGCATATTAAATGAGGTCAGATAATTAACTTCAAAAAAAGAATTTATAAATATCCAGATAAGAAAATTGAAATTACAAAAGCAGAGTTTGTCATCATTAAACTGAATTACAACTGTGTGTGGTTAATGCTATATCTACATGACTAAGTTTTTGTTAAAATACAGTTTTAGTAATCAAATAATCTACCTCATTCAACATAACCACCTATTTCATTTGTACACCCTCACATTCAAAACACATTTCATTCAGAAACCATGTAGCTTTCATCTAGTCAGTTACATACACTCCATTTTTTTTTTTTTAATAGATGCAACCCATCAAGTGCCATCACTCCCGGACTATAAAACAAAATACGATATTTAAAGGTAAAAACTCAGAGAATTTCTGAAATGGTTACCCATCCTCTCTGTGTTCATGAAAATAGGCAATCCGATTTGAAAGTCTTTGAACTAATGTAAACTCTAGAAAACTCAGTGTTGAAGTATGGGAAGGATAAAGACTTGCACTAATATAGTGCATAACAATGCAGTGTCAGACTCGTCATTTACAGTAAATGCCTTGATTCGACTTTCCTCTGGATTGTCATCATGCTGCTGAAGATAGTTTCCTCAAGTCTGTGGGAATTCCATCCTGTTTTCTTCTTCCCATTTCCAAACTGGAAGAGAAGGGTTTTCAGGTCCCTTGGGAAAAATCTAAAACTTAAACTCACACCCACAAACAATTTGAAAGCAAAATGGCAGATTAATAATCTTTGACTCCATGTCCAAATGAAGTTGAGGCAATATTACTTTTGCAATATTTGTATTCTGCCCAATATATCACATTGTGAGATTCCTCAAAAAACTGAGAAGTCTGAGAGCTACAAAAGAGAAGCGGTTAAGGCAGTTGATGTCTACATTTGGATTTCTTTTTCAGGTTACATGTCTAAGTCTCCATCGTAGGCTAAGGTCAGAGGCTTCTGTTGGGGAGGTGTGCTTTGATGTGGTTTTGGCTTCTTGCTGCAAAGGGAAAAAGAATTCTCAGATAAGATTGACAGCTATTTTATCTGCCAAAGATGATTGTGAGGCATGGGAAATTGAGCAGTTAAATGACAAAATGTTTTTAAATTCAGAGTATAAAATTGATATGTATAGATAAAAGTTGTTTCTGCCTTGTGCTAAATTAATGGCATGTATATAAGGAGAATGCATTGAAGAGGTTAAAGGAATGGGTCTGTGTGTAAGATTTCCTTAGAATCCAGGCTCTGTCACTCAATGACTTTAGGGAAGTTTTATCTGGACTTGCTTCTTTTTGAATACTTGTACATGCTAAACCTAATTTAAGAAGGCGGCATCATTTTTCCAAAACGACTTACTGAAACATTTAACATGGTATAAGGCTACTTTCTTCTTATTTTTATGAAGTAATGTGAGCATCTACTTTTCACTGGTTCCTAAGTCACTGTGACCTCTCTGTTACAGATATTTAACATCGTTAGCAGTACAACTACCAAACTCTAGTGCCTTTTGCTGGTCTTGATTTAAATAAAACATGCTTCAGCTTTGTCCTGAAATCTGACATTTAGCTGCCAAGTCACTGCAGTCTGCTAGGAAAATTTCACTGATTTTTATATCCTTATCACCTGGTTTACCTGATGTTACAGCTTTGCCAGGTCAGAGAGAACTACTGTTCCTCATCCGAGAGAGAGAGGGATGGAGACACTGAGAAAGGGACAGAGTGACAGAGAGGACGAAGAGAGAGAGTCAGAGTAGAGGAAGACAGACAGGCACAGAGAGGGGAACATCGGCATAAGAAACAAAGACAGGGACAGGGGGATGGAGAGACAGGGAGGAAGAAATGGACAGAGACACAGGAGAGACGGAAGAGAAAAGAAAGACAGGGACAGAGAGACAAGGAGACAGAAGAAACAGACCCTGAGAAAGAGATGGAGATACAGAGACATGGCGGGGGGAAGTAGAGAGATACATGGAGAGGGACACAGAGAGACAGTAACAGGCAAGAGGGGGAAGGACAGACACAGAGGGAAAGAGATGGGGAGAAGGTAGGGACAGAGGAGGGAGAGAGAAGGAGAGACAGACACAGAGATGGAGACACACACAGAAGGAGGTAGAGGGATAGAGAGAGAAAAGCCGAAGTGGTGTCCTGATCTGGAGCAAAATGTTGTCTACACTTCTTTTATTCTTTGCACAGGGTGAATCTCAAATTATGTCTATTGTTTGAATCCCCCCCCCACACACACACCCCAACACACACACTCCATCTTCTTTCCCTACTTATACCCTCAGAGTCCAGCTATTGGGTTACTCTCGCTAGCATGGCGCTCTCTCCCGGTGTCCAAATACCTACACTATTTGTTGTGTAGCAACACCTGTTATGAGTCAGATTCACACAAGTGCCAAACCCCATGCTGATCACTGTACATACTCTAACTCAATAAATCACAGAACAACCCTGAGAAGGAGGGGAGGATAGTCGCTACTTTCTAGAAGAGAGTATCATTGACCTTAGGGTCATTGAATGGCAGAGCCTGGATCCTAGCAAGTCTAACACACAGCCCATGCTTTCAACCTCTTCGTGCATTCTCCTTATATAAGTACCGTTACTTTGGCACAAGGTAGACAACTTTTGTCTATATGTATGAATTAGCTTTTATACTCTTTATATAGTGGCTCTAGTTACACTGCTGGGCCCAGAGAGTGGACCCAGCTTGAAATGGGGTTCTGAACAAGCTGATCTGCAGAATTTAATGGTATGAAGATATCACGCAAATAAGTGTTTAGGGTAACTTAGAAGTGACAGTGTATGGTCCTATGTTAATGTATAAGGAAGTTCATTTGAAATGATGACAGGAGTCTTTCCCTTCCATGTCCCATGCTTCTGTGGGGGGAGGGAAATAAATGGGAGAAATATAGATACTTCCAACATTTTCGACAATTACTCTGAACTGATACTTGCTAAGAGCTATCACACAAAGAGAAAGAGGAGAAATAAAATGGCTGGATCTTTATAAAGGGGCAATACTCTTGCCTGGGAGACATTTAAAAGTGATCAGCCTGTATGAGCTGGGCCTGGAAAAGTCTGCTTAAAATTTTAGAGAAATTGTTATGGATTTTGGGATGTGGTAGGGAACATATTTTTTTTTCGGAGTCTTTAACCTCTCAATTGACAGATAACTAAAATCACAACTATGATTATGTGTGATTTTATAACTTTTATAGACTTTGAAAGTTCTCAAATGTTGGCAACTTTGCTAAGTAGCTACCTTTATAAAGCTTTCTGACTCCTTAAAAAGAACAACAGAAGAGGTACTGAGTGGCAGGTCTGACCTCTATAAAGCCAACAACTAGGAGGCTTATTGTTAGAGGCCCCAACTCCCTTTCCTTTATCCCCTAGGGATTCATTAAGTAATTTTTAAATCAGTTTTTCCAGCTCATATCAGGAAAGGTGTAATACTAAACCCAGACTGACAAGTGCTTGGTGGAGAGGCCACTACCACATCATCTTGTACCCAGAGTGTCCATCTTTAATCCATCACACTATTCCCTCCTGTAGAGCCAAGGTGCTCCCTCATAACTCTTCATAATGGGACATACTTGACAGCCACCATCACTTATGGAGTTAGCACAGGGATAAACCATTATGCAGCCCCTGGCTCTAAGAGATCACTGACTGACACATTTTACAGTGACCTCTTCTAGTCATTTGCATTTTAGCAAAGGATAATGCCATGAAGCCAGAAAAGCGAGCTCATTCTAAACTGACAGGCAAGCTGCTGGCCTCTCTCAGCAGCTTTGAAACCAAGCCATAAGGACCCATACGGAGGCCAGTAGAGATTAAATAGCTTGGTGAAAACAGGAGCTGCCTTTTGTTTACAGATACTTGTGAGGACCCAGCCTCACTGGGCTGGGGGTATGACTCAGCCTTAGGCAGAATGAATGTAGTTATCTAGAGTAGCTTCTGGGCACTATATCTAGATTAAGCCGACCCATTAAATTCTCATGGATCTTTACTGCCAGGGAATTGGGGCATCAGTGATATATTTGAAACTGATCACTAATGGCAGATGCACAAGGGGTAGTATCTGAACCAAGTGGTCCTTGAGAAGATAATTTATTTTTTCTCAAAAGCGCTTCCAAATTTTATTATAAATTGCTTTCATCAAAAGTATGCACCTAAGACCTGACATATTATAGCAGTTCCTTTTGTGCTAAGCCTTTTATTTTGGAGAGAAAACATAAAATCTCCAAAACTGTCATCTCTTAGCTATTTTGTAAGTTATTTAATAGAAGCAGATGCTGTGAAAATAACTGTTTGGATTCTATAGGATTCTCATATGTAATAGCAAATGGTATGTGTTTGGATATCAGTCGGTTGGTTATCAGATTTATAGCTTATTTTACTTGGGAAACAATGAGTCTAAAAATGTGAAAGCTATAGGTACTTTGGAATCTAAAGGGTTAGTCAAGGGGAAGATATCACAGAGCTAGAAAGATCAGTGGAAAGAAAACAAACAGTTTAGGGAAAACTGAAGTTGCTTTTACCAGGTTGACCTCAGATAAGTTACTTAACTGTTATATAGACACTTTACTCTCAAAATGAATATAATGGTATACTAAAACAACCTATGAAAAGTACTTTGGCATAATTTTTCCTTGACTTTGTATCTAAAAGTCATGGATCTTAATTATTACTTATCCAGTCACTTATATATCCCCTTATCAATAATACCTCATCATTGCACCTGTCACTTCTCCAAAGTTCTTGGGGTTTGGTAAAGGAGGAGGATGATACTTATACAAATGACTAGAGTGAATGCCACAGGGGAGGAGGTATGGACAAATTATTCCACACTGTAGGGCCAGGAAAATGTTGGCATCTGAGTTTTTGGAAAGAAGTGATGAAATGCCAATAGCTAGTGATAAATTCATTCTAAATGAATAGGCTATAAGCAGTAAAAACTATAGAAACAGAAGCCTCCATATGAAATTAGAAGGTACCAACATAAGTGTCCAAATATAGCATTTGTATTCTTATATTCACCCTCTGTAATATATATGTATACACCGATATATATATATATATATATATATATATATATATATATATATGCACTATCCACAGACAACTATAGCAAGGGACTATATTTATAATGCAAGGATTTTTTTTAACATGAAGATCATAAATATAAATGCATAGATGCCTCTCCCCCACCCCCCGCCAAATGGCCAACTTCCTATATATGTGAATTTGAACTTTGTTTATCTCAAACAACTTAGGTGGAAACTTGTATGGAAATCAAAGACTGAATTTGCCTGTGGAAAGGGAGGTGACCTAAACAACTGATGTGAACTTTGTACAGATCTTTTGTGACCAAGCATAATGATTAAATATTGGAACAGAAAATGTTCTGGTTTATCCAAATCAAAAATAGTTATTAAGGAAGGAAATGTTTTTCTTCTTGAATGAGAAATGTTCTAAGTATATTTGAGCCTGTACACTGCATATGATTCTCTAGGACATGGGCAATAGCAGGTAGAGTTGAAAGTGACTTTTATAATGAAGTTGTGGAAGACTAATTGATTAGGCAGCATAACTGGCAGTGTCTGAGAAAGAGGGTGCTGGTTTCCTAAGTTTTAGGATCCGGCTGGACAGCAGGAGGAGGCATTTGTAATGAGTCCAAACATGCAGCTACTGTGTTGCTCCCAAAGGGGGTATTAAAATCAGGCACTGGGATGTAAAACATGGGAAATTATATATATAAATATTTATGTGATTTTGATATTGAAATTGGGAAAATTTCATTGATCTTTTATATTAAAAATTCCTTAGGAAATTATATCACTAGAAATAAGTAATGTATGTAATTAACTCCCAGAGCCTAAAGTTGTACAGTTATATTTTTTGTTAAGGAAATGGATTAAAGTTAATATTTTTTATATTGGAAGGAATAGAGAAGTGTAAGAAGGCAAATTTTATGGGTATTACTGAATGTTCATTTAGATCTCTTAGATATTTAACTTAAGAGGGAAACAGAATTGGGGATGTGACTTAACAGCTAGAATATATTCAAGCTTTTACAAGCTAATAGACAGATTAGTTTACAGTGTAATTACAATATATTGGGCCATTGCTAGCAGTTTCTCAGCTGTCAAACCTTCATGTCCTTTGTTTCAATTTAAGAACTTTCTCCCTTTTTCTACTCCTTTCTGGGGGTTGAATGCTTCTGAATGTAACACATTCAACTTCACATTTGTTAAGATCAAATTATTTGATTATAGGGTGCATGACTAATTGGAGGTGTTAGTTTTTGCTACAACACTATAGAAACATTAGTTGGATAGGAATCCAATTTCTATCACTATAGGTGGCAGAAGGAATTAAAGCCATTGCATTTTCTCACTAAACTTTCACTGACCAAGAGCATGAATTCAAAAACTTGTGTAGCCCTGGAAATAGAATTTGAGGCAAAATATACAAAGGCCAGATATGAATCAAGATTAAAACTTGGGTAAAAATTATCAAGGAAATAGTCTGAGACAGATGATAAATATAAATATCTTGACTTGGAAAAAAAACAGTAACACTTTGATCTCATGAAAATAATCTTTTGAAAATTCTGCTTAGAAAGCTAATAAAATATTCTCATCACACACACTTGAAAACATTCCAGTATATTTACTACTTCTATCTGCTTTCAAGAGTGGCTCATCAACTGAAATATTCTGTACAATAAACCTATCATCATTTTCTGAAAATAATAAAATTTCAGGAAACTGTCATTTACAAAATGGGGTTTCTGGAACTGACAGTTAAAATTTTCTTTCCATGGCTAGTTAATCACCTAGTTGTACTATTTAAAATGTACTAACAGATTATTTCAAATAATCCATAAAAATAATAATCTAAAATGATCTAAACCTATAAAAAGTACTTTGACATAATTTTTTCTGGTTAGTTTTGCCCAACTTGTCAAAACAGGCCAAGTTAAGAACAGAATTTAAGAACTAGAATTATTTAGAATAATGGCTGTCAGTGTTAGCTGCATATTAAAATCATCTGTGGGCACTGCTCAATATCCAGAGGACCCAGCCACACTCAAGAATCAGTTACTGAGAGGTGCCAGGGCCTGCCAGTATACAGTCGAAGCTAAAAGCTACTGATTGATCTAAGTCAAACACTAAAATGGGCAAGTCTTGACTAATGATTTGTGTTTTATACCTTCTAACAGTATTTGAAAACCAAATATATAAACATTACTGCCAATGAAAACAACATCACCTATTTTCAACAATTCTGTTGTTGATTATTTATGGTAGGGCTCAACGGTCGTGTTGTACTGGCCAATGATCCTGATATAAGTTTTCATCTACTATAATATACCACCTACAAAAATAGTGAATAAAAATATAATACGATTCAGTACTTACCAAACAAGGTAGGAAGTAAATACTAGGAAAATCATGATAAGAAAACCGCCACCTGAAACGCCATAAACCCAAATTTTTACTCGGCCATCTGTTTAAAAGAGATAACATAGCAAGCTTAGCATACACAGCTTAATTTCTCATTTGAATTGTGAGACCTGTGTATAAATGGAAATACTTATATGTGACAGTGATCAAATGTCAAAAAAGCTGATGATTGTTGATAAACAGGGTTTTGAAAAAACTTATCTCAAAGTCTAACAATTAGAAGGCTATTTTTAATTAATTTGATGTATATACAGTTTTATACATGCAATGCAAAATGTTCACAACATATTTTAACATAAATAGAACCGAAAAAGCCATTAAGAGAAATCCTAAATGCAAAATAAACAATGACCATTCTTGGTAACTTAACTTCCCAAATTTTTGGTGAAAAAAATAACTGAACAAGCTAATCAGTTCACCAAATTACTATAAAATGAGCATATGTAAATTTGAGTTTCTGGAAATCTAGTGAATTTTGCTGTTTCATATGAGCACACAGTTAACTAAGAATAGGATTGACAGACAGTGCTTTAGTATCCCAAAGAAATTGCATCCTTTTCTGAAAGAAATACCCATATACAAACTCATTATACTACATGAATGTAATTAACTGTGGGTCCAAAACCCACACATCAGTATGTTATTCTAAGGCTTCCATGGGAGGAAAAAAAACTAAATCTGTTGTAAACAAGACTTGTTTGGAATAAAATCACAATTATATTACTATTAAAACTTTTTGCTTAGAAGACACTTCTAAGCCTAAATCAGGTTTTAGAATGAGCTTTTGATGTAAGTAATGATATATTGGTAGGGTCATAAAACTTTTAGCAAGGCTTTGATTCTGATCTCTTTAAAATACTGATGATGGAATCCCCTATTCTTATTTATTTATTTATACAAGCACTGGGGTACAAGCCAGAGGCGCGGGAGTGTGAGAGACACCAGATACAGCAGGGAGCAGAACAGGCAGAAGGACTGAAATACACGGCTGAAGGGAGCAGTGGGCGAGACAGGAGAGGCTTGCCACACCATGTGGAAATATCCATGGCTGGCCAGGAATCGAAAGGGCACTGCAGAGGCTGTGGACAGCTTCACAGTGCTGCCCTCAACCCGCTGTGCCACAGGGGAGGCCGAAATCCCCTAATCTTAGGTGATTTTTTTGGTCATATTGGCCATAGAAAAGTCTTCCCTGAGCAAGAATGTACTTCTCGTCTTATTATACCTATAACAAACAGAGATAAAGTATTGGGAAAATCCACTGTTATTAAATTCCTAGTCTAGAAGTATGTGGTCCATGACCATTACACTAAGACAGAACTTTTTATATAGAGGTTGAGAGGAACGTTTTTTTTTTTTTTTTTTTGTTATCACTTCTTTACTCAGAAACTAACTTGTACCGGTTTTTTCTTGTAACTCATTCCATAGTTTTTTGTGCATACCTATGAGTATTAGTACATACATGCATATCTACCTAAAGACATACTTGGTGCACATCAGCAACTTAATGTATACTGGGAATATTTCCATGCTAATCCATAAAGGCAGGTTTATCTCAGTAAAAATATCACCTATATCGCATAGTTGTATCATATTGTTTTTCATTCTATTAATAGATATTTAGGTAGTTTGTATAGATTTATAACAAGCAACACATAATATCATATACATACTTCTTTCAGTGTATGTATATATTTGCATGATGAATTCCTAGGAAATTTTAGGCCAAATTGCCTCCTGAGATTGATCTAATTGCCACTCTTAACTCTTCCCAAATAAACGTGTATACACATGCATGTATGCAATATTATATATGTATGCATGTCTATAACTGCGTGTATACATCATCAACATGTTCATCATATGCATGATATTGTTGATGTTTTAGTTAGACCCCCTAAGTTTCAGGACCTCATTTGTGGATTTGAAGATTCATTTCCCAGGGGACCTCACCCTACTTCTCCTGAAATAATGGGTTAACCTGACTACATTTTATATCATCCTTCTTTCAAATTTAAATCTACTAATGTAGACATTTTTAAACATCTATGTTGTGCAAAGACATAGAGGAAAGTCCAGAGTTGAACAGATAACGTGGCCATCCTACAAGGTTGATTGGGAATATACATCTTGTTTCTTCCACTAGATCTAGGGTTCATGGGCTCTTGTTCTGGCTTCTTGTAAACACACTTTTGGTATGGCAGAGGCATAGGGTCTAGGAAGAAACTTCCCAAATGACAACTATATTTTACTTGAACTCTGTCTCCTTCCTCTCAACCCCTTCAGTTATACTGCTTTACTTTACTCAGTTATTCCTAGCATTTTATTTCCCAGGAGAGAGATTTAAAACAGGCACTGAGGATCTCTAATTTTCTGCCCACTTTCCAAAGTGGGCAGCAGAGACTAGTGTTATGTAAGAACTTTAATGACCTTGTTTTCACACTTTTTCTGCTAACTTCTGGTGGTGTGGCCTTGGTCAAATTAGTTTGTACTGCCAGCTTCAGATGCCTAATCTCTAAAATGGGGGTGATAACATCCCATTAAGTTGCAAGAACATAATGAGATTATTCAGGATACATAGCCAGCCTGGGACTACAGGGAAGACAAAAAACATCTAATAAATGTCCCTCCTATCCTTAATAACCACCAGTACCTGAGCACACAGGCTTGACACTGCTAATTCACCTGACAATCCTGCAGGGCAAGTGCCTTTAGACTGATTTCATGGATGAAGAAATAGACCCAGGGAGGTGAAGAAATTGCTCTCAATCACAAAGCAGGTACAGTCTGAGCTATGATGCCAACAGGGTCTGTATGTCTTTGAGACCAGTGCTCTTTACGGTTTCTCAATTCAGTGTCCCTTAGGCTGGGGCTATATACTTAGCCCCCACTATGCATAGGAACACTATATAGCTAAAGGGAACAATATATTATACAACATTCAAATCTGAGAAACCTTGAATGAGACCATATTGCCTCCTTTTCTCCTGTTTTCCTCCTTACATCCATTGTTTCCATCACAAGCAGCGTTCATAATATAAGAATGTCACCCCCCACCCCGCCATGAGAAATTTTACATTTCTTATAACTGAAACACACCTGGTTCAAGGGGTTGAAGAGACCATCCTTTAAAAATATCATGTATTTTTGAATTCACGGGTCTGTTTTTTCCTGAAAGGTTTTTCACATCAGCTTTTTTATCCTCTGAGCCAGGTACTTTCATGCAGTAATCCAGGAAACCATTTGATCTCAATATCTCCGTATAACCCTTCTCACAACCACAGACTCCACCCTACAGCAAAAAAGATATTTTTATGGTTATACAGTGAGTTGTGCAGATGAAAAATAACAATTTAAATGTCGGAATCACTTAATATTTATATGATGTGTCATGGAAATTTAGAGTTTCTCAGCAACAGACTTGCCAAACAGATGAAAATCTACTAAATAGTTCATCTTTCTGAATTCTAAAGCAAACTCTAACATAAATCACCCGTTTTTCCAAAAGATTATAATTCTTAGAGCTTCCAAATATTAAATCGGAATTCTTTGTCAATGAAAGGTATTAAACATCTAAGAAAAAAAAAAGAATGTAGTTAAGGTATTGAATCAAATTTTCCTCAACTTTCCCAGCAGCCATTTTGTTCTCCTGTCCACTCCAACCAGTTCTTGATACTGAGAAACAAAGCAACGGGGATTATGTACATAACTTCTTTGAGGTCTCTGTCTGCTCCTGCTGCCTTATCACCTTCTACCACTAGTCTAACTGGGCTGAATTACTCTCTGTTTATTTTATTTTATTTTTTAAGAATTATTTATTTATACAAGCACTGGGTACAGTCAGAAGCGTGGGAGGGTGAGAGAATTCGCCAGAGCGGGGAGCAGAGCAGGCAGAAGGACCGAAGTACACTGCTGAGGGGAGCAGCGGGCGGCAGGAGAGGTCTGCCCGCCATGTGGGACCCTCCTCCGGTGGCCGGGGAGCAGCCGGGGATCAAACCGACGCCACCCAGGCTGCGGGCAGCTTCACAACCCAGTGCTCAACCACTGCGCCACCGGGGAAGCCCTGAATTTCTCTCTGTTTACAGGCTTGCTTCTGCAGTCAAGGCAGCCCAAGTGGAGGGACAGAAGACTGCACCACAGACACGTGTCTAAGAGAGTGATGATATATCTGTCCTTACTTGTAGCAGGCCAGTGTCACATCACATTTCTAGTTGGCATTGTGACAACGTGTCCTTCACATTTATCTTTAGATTCTAGGTCACTTTTCTTGTACAAATAAACCTTTGAGCTCACTATGATCCAGTATAATGGACAAGAGTTTCTGCTTCTGGAAGTGAAACTGAAAATGGTCTTCCTTCCTCTAGCAAACAAGTAGGATAGAAAAAAATGAGCACAGATTATGACTGTGCTCATACTGTTCCTTACCTAAAACTGTTTATCTGGCCTTATCAATCAGCTAGATTTATCGAGATAATCAATTGTTGACTAACGACATGATTTTGAGATACAATAGATTTTAAAACTAAAGATCCCTCAATCACCTACCAAAGAAGGGCAGGGAAAAATATGATGTGATCTAGTTAGTAACTTCCCATAGTTTAAGAAAGTAGCATGTTATATAATAACAATTATTAATGGTTTTAACTGAAGGTATAGAGAGAAATAACTAAGAGAACTGTATATGCTGGTGATAAAGTCATCCTTTCAAAATCATCTCTATTAGTCTGAGTGAAATGTGTTATGGGTTACACGTATTTAAAGGAAAATATAGATTTGTTTTATTAGAGAAGGTATTTAGAGAGTTAGAGGCAAATGACAATTTCTATTTTGTGACTGTATATAGGCCAATAAAATTGTTTTTGATCTCTTTTTAGCTACTTGTTTTGTAAGTTTAGTCATTAGCTTTTTTTCAGTAACAAACCCACCTTGAAGTAGAAAAGCCATAAAATAGGATTGGGTGTTTGAGTTATTTTTAACCAGCTAACTTTTGGAAAGAATACATTATAAAAAGACATTTGTTTCCTTAAGGAACATAACTTTTAAGAAATCACATATGTACTGCATACCATTAGTGTCATTGACAGGATTCACTGTACATTTGCATCAATTCCTGAGCAGGGGTAGATGGGAATTAGGGTAGGAAAAATATTTTTATCCATAGGTATGTATTGGCTTATTTAAAAAGAACTAAAATCAACTGGCACAATGCTAACCAATTTTGCTAACTAACAATTAGCAAATATGAACATTCATTTACAACATCATTCAAAATAGTTTATGACAGGTTAGGAATAGAAGAATAAATCAATTGAGAATATTTCTTGATAAATAGAACATAAACTAGATAAATGAAAGGCAAATTTGGCTGTGGGCAAATTTATAGGAAAAAAAATAAAGACTGCTTTCCTTAACTCATGGCCCTACAAAGAACTGTTTTATTTCATTTCCCTTGTGGTTTTTAGTATTTAGAATTTTAATGTGTTGCCATTCAGGAATACCTATATGTCTATACATAGTATATTTAAAACATTTACCCTGCCATTTATTTATTTTTTTGATTCTGAGTTAATATTGTAAACCCATGTAACTTCATTTAAAAAAAAAAAAATTAACTGTGATTACTCCTGCAAATGCCTCTAGATGGTATCACGTGCACACAGAACTGCTGTTTAGGCTATAGCAGACTGGAAAACATCCAATAGCAAATGCTTAACACAGAAATTTAAATGCTTGTATTTAAAGCATTTAAATTGTCCAGTGCAAGACTCACCTGTGTACAGTAGGAGAAAGGTTTTCTGCAGGCTGGGTTGCACTGCCGAATAGCAGCAGGACGTGCTTGAGGGGAGCAGCCTCCTACAAAGGAATTCCCATCATCATTTTGAGATTTTCTATGATAAACATTTAAAACATTTTTTTTTTCCTTTCTCTGGCACTGGTCATTCTGTAAAAGTGTCATGTTAAAAAAAAAAAGTGATATGTAGCTCAGTCTTATTTTTTTTGGCTTGCCCCAGTATGAGTTCTTTGAGATGAGAAGCTCTGCTAACAGAAGCTGATTATTGTAGTTTTAGCTCTGCACATTGGCAATGTGATTCTATCATATGGCTATGCTTCAGGGCAGTTTGTGAGTGCCAGGATCAGTAAAAGAATTGAGGAAATCTCAATTTAAGTTCAAGAGCAAAAAATAAATCTGCTCAAAGACTCATTTTATATACATTTTTCTCCAGCTCCTGAATACTCAATGAAGCACTCTAAGTCCCTATAACTGAATGCTAAAAGAATGGCCACTAATCAATTCATCAAATCAAATGCTTTGGTAACATATTTTAACCAGAGTACACATCGATACAATCACACACACATACTCACATACAGTTTAAAGAACAAAATCTATAAGCTCTAGGAGGGGCAGTCATGCAGCTGACTGTACAGTACTTGCTTAGTAAGTAATTTTTTAAATAACTAGATGTCTATAATATGTACAATGATGTCTCCATACTATGAAAATCATGCACACATTAGTAGTGCCTTTTTTAGATTCAAGGTACTAAGCTAATAAGTTGACATTTGAGGACATTATTTAGATTGCATTTATATAATATTGGTTGTATTTATTAGTTCTAGCCTTTGCATTATTGTAATTGTCAACCAATTACAGTTTGACTTTGTAGTTATCAAAAAGCTTGGGCATAAGGTAGTGTGGAGAATAGGAAGGTCTACATTTTCCCTGAAAATGAAGCAGAAAAGTCTCACTGCTACTTGAAAAAGAAATCAAATAATCCACAATGAATTATAGATACAAACCCCACAATTAGCATCGAGATGTGAAATTGCAAATTTGAGTGTTAGTGACAAGAACTCAAAGTAATGCTGCTACCTATTGTGTTTGGAGGTCTCATCCCCCTCCCCTCTATAAACCAGTGATAGCTAAGGCTGTGTGTGCACCTTTGGCAGATGGGAACTTTTGGGAAGTAGGGAGAAAATACTAGAATTTGTATAGCACATGCAACTTTTTGTCTAAATATTACGACTAAAGTTCTCATAATCCTGAGCAGAAAATACTGTTAATGAGTTCATTCACCAATGGCCACTATTGTAGATGTAACTTGAGATTATAATCTTTAGTAGTTTAATTCTCAGCATATGATGGGTTCTGTGTTCCTGTGTAGGTAGATTTATATAGTATATCTAGTTTTACCAAACTTACAAAACTAAAAAGTAGTTTAAAATATATTATCTTTATAAACTATAGATTAAAGATAATACTGAGTGCAAAAACAAAAAATAGAGCTGACAATCCTTCTATCCCTATAGAAATAATAGTATTCTCCCACCCCTGTGATAAACTGTCAGAGTTTATCTGACTGTGAACAGTAAGTAAAACATGGCAACTGACTTTTCTCCAATAGGCAAGCATTAAAATTTTTTTGCAGAAGACCATTTGCAGAACCAATTGTCATGAATGAGGTGCCCTTCCTTAATTTATATTTAGATGTTAATAATCATGACTACCATATTCAAATATAGGTTTTGAACATAAGCACCTATAATTTTTGTACCATTAAAATATTTTAACAGTATTTATTAATTTGCATGTGTTTTTAGAATATGTATATTAGCATGGCAGCATAGGAATATGGTAGATTGAGATATAGCCTCAAAAATTTTATATAGAGATGCTACATCATTTAAAATTTTAGAGAGCACTGTTGTAAGCTAGCACTGATCATTTTCAGTCTTTATCTTAGATTGTGACTGTTCAGGAAATTTTTATTTAAGTTGTCTGATATAGTATGTTTGCTTTCTAAGATGCGAAAATCTGATGGTAATTTGCTAAAAATATCATTTAATTAGGCCACTTGCCCACTCCTATTGCTTATAATTTTAAGCTAATTGTCCTCACAGACAGCAAAACTCAGGTCTTTTTGAAGTGTCCACAGTAGTCTTAGGCAGGAATACCTGTGACATTAATGCCATCTGAACGCTGGCACCATACAGTTCGTTCATTATTGTTCCAAAGACTTGCTTTCCATGTGTAGTGGTAACATTTGCCTCCTGCAAGTAAATGTAAACTGGTTCTATTATACTGCATATAAAAATAGTATAAACATTAATCAATGGAGCTTAAGAAGTGAAAAGTTCTCTTGGTACCTGTACAAGGGCGTGTTTCCAGAACCTGCTGGGGGCAGCTGTCTTGGTTCTCAAAAGACTGAATTATAAATGTCCTTGACCTAGATTGGCGGCCCATTGTCTCAAAGCTTCTTCCATCAATGCAGGTTAATTCACACGTGCTCCACTCTGACCACTTCGTTAAATGGCAGTCTCCTGGGTAAGTGTGAAGCACAGAGCAGAGGGAACGTGAAAACTAAACCTACACATTACCCAGGCAGGGAGATTGGTGGTGGTGGGCAATTTCTGGATACTGCACATTTGTCTTTGACCAATTTTCCATTTAGACAGTACTAAATGATAAAGTTATTTATGGTTTAATCTAGTTTAGCAAGATAGTGCCGAAAATGAGATTGCCATTACTTTGTCTCAAATTATAGTAATCTTATCTAGTGAACACTGTATGTCAGCTAGTGAAAATAAAATTTTTAAAGGGGAGATGGAAAGATTATGGTAACTCAGTTTTCAAAGAGCAGCATAATATCATAAAATGGATGTTCTTAAAAACCATATAAAGGGAATAAGACAGTCACTGAAGTGGAGTAATGTTGGGCTCAAAGAATATTTAATAATCTAAGCACATACATTTATGTGCATAAAGTATGTAAATATATGTGCACATGTATGTATGAGTTTACACACAAAGGTCAGTTTCATGCCATATTATAAGGCTGTATATAAAGGTATATTAAGTTACCTTAAAATTAGGTCACCCAAACCCAGTTGTGCTATTAGGAATAAAATGATACATAAATATAAATAGTGATCATCTTTACAAATACATAGAACTTGTCCATTTAAATGAGAGTTTCATAATCCTTACTGTTCCCACCCTGCTGCCACCCAGGGATTCATCCACTCATGGGTTCAGTCAACACTTATTTTGAGTACTAGCCAGTGTGCTAGATGGTCAGGTCAGGTATTAGCACATACTCTAGGTGGAGCTACCATCACTCAAAGATTGTTCCATGTAAAATGCCAGTGACATGATTGAAACTTAGCTCTTATATTTCCATGTCCTGTCCTTTTCCTCAGGCTTGCTTTACCTCCATTGAAGTTGTGAGAATATTCCAAAGTGATAACCTCACTTAAATAAACTTTTGCAATTTTAAAACCTCAAATTTGATGAGAGTTTTTCCAGAAAAAGTAGAAGTAATGAACAGGTTGTCATTAAAGCATTCACAATCATCGAAAATTGCATACCTGGGCAAGGAACAGAACAGGGCTGCTTCAGGATGCTATTCTGGAAGGGCATGTCTCCACACAGTGCATCATCTACAGGTATAGCGGTGTGGGAGATGGAGCCATTGTGGACCATGCAGGAAAGGCTTCGGATCTGGACTCCTTCCCCGCAGTCTCCACCCTGTGAGAGGAAAGATACTGTTAGAATTACCCAAATAATTAGCCTATGAGAGTTTTGACTCCTAGCACCCCTTGCCAAGAAAACCCTGGTTGCATATTTCTGCATAGAGAGTGATCTGTGAATTGCTCACATAAAGTATCACCAAGAAATTCTTAGAGAGCTGATGAATAAGCTGAAGTATAAATGCAAATTTATGCCACAGAATTTATGTACTCAGAATATGATGATTCATTTTGGAACACAGCCAGGACTGAATGAAAAAGAAAAAAAAAAAACAATACATAACTTGTCTAGGTGTATGTGATAAAATGGCCTAATCCATAATCACTCCCTAAGAAAGCATGTACAGCCACAGGGCATAAATTTCTCTTTTACTTTGCTTGTTTTTCTTTTGTAGGGAATTCAGTACTTTCTCATATGGATTAGGTTAAGGTTTCCAGTAATACACTGCTTTTCTCTATTACCATGAAAAGTTGTTTTCCCAGCATACCTTCTGTGCTGAATAATGTTCTTTGAAGATACTTTATACAAATCCCACTCAGATTATTCTAGACAATTAGAAAAAAAGTGTGCAGTGTCTCACAGAAACAGCAGCTTAGAATTGGAAATGTCTTAGTGGTTATATGGCTCCCATCTGTCTGATGAAAGGATTCCTACTAGAGCATTTTTGGCAGCTACTCATAAGTGCTTTTTCCTCCTCAGTTTTATTCAGGTACTCATACTTAAAAAGGGGAGGGGGTTGGTGCTTAATTATTTGGATAACTTTTAGATGGAAATAATATAAATAGCCATAAAAAGGTATTTTTTGGTATAAATGCCTATAAAAATGGGTGAGGGCAAAACTATTGTGCTAAGGAAGTGAAATCCTAAGATGACAAGAGTGAAGGTAAAAGAACTGAAGGAGAAACAGAGGAAAAGCAAATGTAAAGTAATGCGTTGCTACACTTGCCTCCTTGCCACAAGTAAACACAGCTGGTTTCTTGGTCAACCACAATTTCTTCCAGTCAGGCCTTGTGGTATCAGGAGGACTCAGTCCCATCAATAATGGAGGTGAGTGGAAGAAGGGGGAGTCATTAAAATGCCAGCTCCTCCTTGGATCCAATTCTCTGTGGTCAATGTCCATCTTGGAGAGTATTAACTCTCCTATACTTCCAAGGTGTGTCACTGAGCTTCCACTTAGTCCAGAGTCTGGCACGTGGTGACCACTGGTAGACCGTCTCCCAAATAGGAGAGAGGGGCTTTGCATTTCTGTTGCTGCAGCCAGAGAAGCAAGATACTACAGCCCATTATGAGAGAACAGTGATAACGGTACTATGTACTGGGAAACAGAGTTTCATCTCCTTCTACTCTTTTTCCCCAACAGGACCTAGAAACTGCATTGCCTAGGTCTTGGAGATGTGGCTTTTAAAGTGACAGAAAGGAGAGAAGTACAAGGTGGTCAGCTAAAGCATGAAAATGACCCAGGGCATGGAACAGGTAAGTCATCAGAAGCTGATAGGCCTACTGAGCACCAGCCAAGTCAAGGCACTGTGCAAACAGCAGTCAAGTGTCAAGGACAGTTCATAAACAGACTACTGGAGGTGTAGGGTGGTACAGGGTGGATGCTGAAAAAAATTCTTGACATAAGAAGAAGTCCAGAAATGGTTTGACTTGCACGAGGTCCTAGTTGAAGCAATTTTAAGCGTGAAGAATCTGAGTAGCATGTCAATAGGGGCCATTACATCTTCTTCTAGAGATGCCATAACATGATTATGATTTGTTTACTAAGATGGCATTTCCACACTTGACTTATCAATAGCTCATAATTGCTCTAATCTTTTATTCAGCTGTTGTGAAATTGCCAAAACATGCACCCTAATTCTGAACCTGAGTGCATTATTTGGGGAAATAAGTGGAGGTTTAAAATCAACTATCACACTCAGCAAATACTCAAGTGAATGCTAACTCCCTAAAGTGGGAAATAGCTAATGTATGTTAAATTCCTCTTTTAAGAGGATTTCTCTTATAACTTATTACTCCAGAGGATGGAGTCACTGCAGAATTGTGAAAGGTATATGTGTTGCTAAAGAGTATTAGACTGTATGCTTACTTCAGAATAGTCTGAAGCTACTGCATCACATACAAGATTTGAAATTACTGCTATCTGGAACCTCAGGTAACAGAGACTACAACTGATTAGTGTTTAACATTTCAGGAAATGGTGTATGAAGATCTCATAGGAAACATGAAATCACAGGGATCATTTTAAAAATCAAGACAAACAACAATTTGCTCCTAATATGCATCCTCCTTCAACCATATACTTCAACCTATACTTTTGACAACAGTCATGATATGAAAAGAAATCAACATCAGAATTGTAATGATATTCATAAAGTGAACATTCACTCCCCCTTATTCACGAGACTTTACACACTAGGGAGGGCAAACAGACCCAGACTACTTGGCACAAGCTTGTCAACAACCAGGATTCTCTAGCTCTCCACTGCACAGTCCAGATATTAGCGGATATGTTGTATACTCTGAGTCAGTGTCTCTAGCAGATGTGGACTGGCAGCTGGTGCTAATAATCAGAGTTTTAATCAAAGTTATAATACCAACCACAGTTTATTAAGCTCAGAATTTATGTCAGGTACTACATAATGAGCACTGCATCTGAACTCACTAATCCATACAAACCATCCCCCCACCCCCGACTCTCTGTCAGCAAAATCGGTACTATTTCAACTTCCATCATACAGATAAGAAAACAGACTGGAAAGCTCAGAAACTTGGCAAAAATTGCTGAGCCAGGAACTGTGGTAGAATTTTGACCGAAATTAGGCCTGCAAGACTGAGTTCTAAACAGATTTGGCAACCTATGTGTGGATCTGTGTTATCAGCTGAAGAACTTAAAGAGTCAGAAAACATTTTAGAAAGTAAAGCCAGAGGATAAACACTTTTTTTGCTGCTAACATCTTCCCATATAAAATAGTAGCAAAATTGGCACATCTACTGTGTAAGCCCCGTCCCCCTCCTGCCCCATTGTGGTTTGCTAGTTCTTGATGCAATCAGCCACTTAAATACCATCGTCACCTTCAGCAAACGAGCTCCCTGCCTTCAGTTGGCAGGTCAGGATACAACAGGACAAGGAGGAGCAGAAGCACATTTTGAGAGGTGATCTTCCTTTGTGGGCAAAGGGCCCATGAAATTTTGATCAGTAATGTCAAAAACTGTGCTCACAAAATGATTTGAGAGAAGGCAACTCACTATAAAGATAGTGTGTTATCTCTCACAGGGAGCTCACAATTAAGTTTTAGTAAAACAGGAATGCAGTTCCAACTCTGGAAAAAACTCAACCATCAATGATTTACGTTCTCTTTTGCCTTTGCTTGTCTTCTTTTTCATCAGTGAGACTGACTTTATCCACAAGGTGGAAGATGTGGTGGCTAAAGGTTCCTGAATACAGTATCTCTGAACAGCTTTGATTCATTCCAAATTCTTGGGGAAGAATGATGAATGACCCTGTCTGCATAAGGTGCCCATCCCAGAATGAAGTACAGACTTCAGTAACAGGTATTATTGTTTGAGAGATTTCCCTGGAAAAAGTCTAAGTTCAGAATTTCCTCCTGACTGGAAATGTCAGTGAATGGAATTAACCTCATCTGGATACCTGAGGTGCTTCTGGAATTTCTGCACACATGTTCTTGTGGTCTCTGCAGGCTCCATCCAAGCCTGTGTGATGCCCAGACCCCACCTGCACTACTATGGCAAATGCTCACAAGACCCCACTTGTGTCCCTGTGGTGCTCATATGCTCACGTGACAGCAAAATGAAACATTCCATTTGGCATTTCCCATGTTCGTGTGGGACAAGTTGACAGGTGTCTATATATAATGCATATATTTAGGCTTCTGACATCTGAGAAGGTAAAAAGGAAAGTGCAAAAGAGTGAGCAAGACAGCTAGAGTAGAAGTTGTATGTCTGCTAAGACTTGGAGCATGGAGTCCGTCAGTCCTGTTGCCGGCTCTCCTTCCATTTTTCTCTCCCTTCCCTGTCAACTGGTTCCTGAATTTTTTGAGCCTATTTTCTCAACTGTCAATTACACAATTATAAGGAGAAACAACCCTACCATTTTCTTAATTGTGACTCCAAGCAGCATTTAAAAATTGCTGAAGATTTAGGAAGGAGGATTTTAGACAAGTGACAACGTATTCCTATTTGCCATTACATTACTATTGAAATAATTAGCATGGTTACCTTATTTTCTGTAAAAAGGAGACAGAACAAATGTACCACACATTCTTGTTCCTCTGAGACTTATTACAATGCATGGACATTATTCTGCAAGATGATAATGATGCATGACAATGTCATCCTGACAGGAACACTAAACATCGCTGAGAATACTCTGCACATTCCTTAATCCTTAATCAAAATTATTGTTACCTAATTACGATATGCTTTGGAATATGAACTTAAATATGAACTGGTAAAATAAGAAAATAGCAAAAATCGATGTGCTTTTACTTACCCAAGAAGCCAGAGAGCAAATATAGTAGAGGATCTTTGCTGATCCAGCAAAAGCTCTGGGTGTGTGTTATGTTATGATGTTAGGCATTTAAATGCTAGGCATTTATACTTCAGGCCAGTAAAAAAGTAATCATTGAGGAATATGTAGTAACCTTGGTTCATGTGGCAGTGTTAAAATATAACTTTCATACACTTCTGGTTTTCTGCCTCTATGCGAGATTTTGTCTAAGTCCAAATGCGCCTCTTTAAGAAATACAGTCTGCAAGGAGAATGGGCATTTTCACAACATGCAGATTTTGCTTAATTAAGTAATACTTGGGTATTTCTAACAAGCCAAGAAAATAACAGAATTCTTGAGTATGCCAAAGAGATTGAAAGTCCCATGACCCAGACTATTATAATCAGTGCCTAATGAATGGCTATTTATTTTCCTAGCAATCTCACACTGCATGAGATTAAGTCATTTGGTGGTTATTTTTCTGTGTTACTTCCATTGCATAACCACACATTGTGCCAGGTCCATGGTACCGTGAAATGTATTTCCTCAACCCATATTAACCAAACAAGTGTTTTGGACATAGGAGAAGCATTTCTCTAAGTGTGATTATCACCTACCTCCAATTTACATGCAGACCAGTTGCCAAGGACCCAGCTGTAGCAGGGGGTCACTGGGCAGGTTTTCTGCTGGGTAAGCTCTGTGGGGCACGGCCGTCCTTCTCCTTGGGTTGGCATAATGATAAATCGAGTCCGGCTCATTCGACCTAAAATGATAAGGAAGGTGTCAGTTTTTCAGTTAAGAGTTTGGTTTAAAAAAGGAATTAAAGGACAGAATATTGCCTTATAAGTCTTCATTAAAATACACTGATTTTTTATTATGTCCAGCTTTCAGTTTTTCTGCAATTTTAATATATGTTTCTATAGACACAGGTTATATAAGTTCTTCATAATAAAGATTTTAAGTTTTCAGTGGCTCTCAGTCTAAAATCTGTCATGTTGCCAAATGAACTGATCATGTAAATATTGGCAGGATGCTAATTTATTTATTAAGCTCTAATATGATCAAGGCATCCTGCTATGTGTTAGGGACACTGTGATGAAATAGCCAGATGTATTTTCTGCCCTCATAAACTTTGTATTTTAGGCCAGGACTACAAATATTAAAAATAGAGTGTTGTGTTTTGTCTGTTAGGTTCTAAATTGGCTAGTAAGGTAAAGCATTTCACAAAATCCAAATTACCCAAGAACATTCCCTAGGAAGATGCCTCCCAAAGGGAATACTGGTATCTCAATGGATACATCATGATTGGTTTCCCTACAGTTTAGGACCAATTTCTTTGCTTTTTTCATTGAGATCAAGATAAAGGCTGCTGCCTGTGTGAAGGATCTATTCCCTTTGAAAAAGTTCAAATGCTGGCATCCCATTTCATACTGAAAGACAAATAATAAGAGTAGTTGAGGAACAAGCAGGGACCTCATGTCATCTTCTATCTACTCCTACACCTTAGGTCATAACCTTGGTAAATGGGGTAGTTGGGTGAAACTTAAAGTTTATGTTTCTCTCTCTCTCCCACTGATTCTTTATTCTTTTTCACTGATGAAGCACCAAGTCATATAGTTTCATCACTGTTATTTGTGAATATAATGCCCTTCCATTATTGTTGTAAAGTTAATTATGTAATCGCCTTTATGATAAATGTTAAAGGAAAACATTTTCTATGGGAGCATGATATAGGGATTCAGTCTGTCTGGGAAGAGAACTTTCCCTTGAGCAACTAAGCTCAGGAATGTGAAAGGATATAAGTCGTAAGTTAGGTACAGAGAGCACCCTATATAGAAAAAAAAAAAAAAAAACAGGATGAGCGGCAAAGGAGTAGAAGATGTGGCTAATAATAGTAGATGATGAGGGTAATGTGCCTGGAACAGAGAGAACTCAAGGAAGAATGGGTTGAGTTAATTTTGTCACAGCTATTAAAAGTGGGGTGAAAGAGTACATTTATTTCTTAAGTGAAATGGAATGCTACTGATTACAAAAATTTACTTGAAAGCCCTACATAGATGCATCTATTTATTTGACAGACCTGGAGCAGTTACTGTCTGCTGCCAAGGTTCCCACTTGAGATGCAAGAAAAAGCGTCCTCGCGCTTTCTGTCTGTCTGATTTTGGCAGCCAAGATTGAATGGGGGAAAACAATAACAAAAACAAGGAATTTTTGCAACTCAACCTTGTAAAAGGTAAAGAACCTGTTGTGCTCCAGAGAATCTCGTATTTAAGTTTAAGAATATGGTAGTTTTTTTTTTTTTTGAAACGGACTGTTTTTTTCATTTTAAGTCGCCACTTTCCAAAACGAGGGTTTTTTTGTGCAATAGAGAGTGTTATATCTTGTATTAACTGAGAAACTAGAAAGAGAAGATGTGCAAAAGAATAATGTTCATTTAGGAGTTACTTCTGTGTGTGATCTGAAAAGAAATAAAAAAAAGAAAAAAAAAGAAAGCCCTACATAGGAATAATTCTTGGATGCCCTAAATTCAGGGGTAAGTAAGGCTGATTCATACTTTCAGAGGACTAGACATCTCGTCTAGGAATATTAGTGATTGATAGTAAATTAATTCATTGTAAATTAATTCTATCTGAGAAGACCTTTGAAGAAAACTAGGAAGTTCTAAATCTCTGAATTCTGAATTCCTTAAAGTTATTGCATTACTTCACCTATATTAAACATATGTACTAAGCCCATTGAGAATATTTATATTTCATAAATTGTTGACATGTTATCTGTTGAGAATGTGTAATACATCATATATCACATGCTAAGCAACATTCTAAAATACTTTCTATAGTAACTTATTTAATAATCATAAAAACCTTACAGGAAAATCCAATTATTTTCCAATATTGTAGACGTGGAAGGTGAGGATAGTTATGTATCTAGTTTTTTTTTTTTTTTAATGGGAATCATAAACAAAATTTTGGATGGTGATAAAATGTGTGTCAATGACTCCAGAGACCTGGTGAGCAACAGAAACCACCAATACGGCACCCTTGGGCACTGAGCTCCCTCATAGAATGTGTTTGGACAGCTGTTCTGTGCAAATGACTCAAGCCACACAGGTTGGACATCACTTCATTCACATGAAATGTTGTCATTCCTGCTTCATGAAAACATTTGGCTCAGGATTGTACATTATGTCTTGCTTAAATACTCTTCAAGCTTTATAATGATCTTTATGTTTGTTCTCTTGGCCAATACTTGTGATCATATCATTATAATTACATTCTGTTATATCTGTATTTGTAAGAATAATGACAATGTAATGTTGCCTTTATCATAGCTATAGGGGATCTATTTCATTACCATCAAATAACTTCAAGCTTGTTCTTAAATGGATGGCATGTGAATGGCCATTACTTTAGAACCATTTTATTTACTTCCATCAAATTGACATATCTTTTACTGGACTAGATAGATACAGATGGAAGCTAATGTGTGCAACAGAAAAGAAACGATGCTAATATTTCTTGAAAGAATGAAGTCTTCAAACCATTCATGGAAAGCACAGCTGTATCATGTCTGTCTTTTGCTGTCCAAACAAAAAGCTATGACTTTTCAAACGATGCCCATTACTACCAACAATACATTTTAATACCGTGGGGCATGTAATAAACCTGCTTTTTAAAGCATATTGCCATATTTAATTGGAAATATTAAAATTTAATCTAAAAATATTGCTTATAGAGGCATGAGATATAAAGGGAAATCACCTGATATTTCTGGAGGTTATTTCATATCTTTTCATAAGTTCCCTTATCTTTTAATATCAGAGATACTTGGTGGTATAAATTAATTAACCAGAGAAAGTGCTCCTCGAATTAGGCACTTACACAAATGCTAAAGTACAAAATTGAACTGCATGGAGTACAGATGGTCTCAACCAGGAGACCCGTGACAATGGGAATGAACAACACTATCTGGGATTTCAAACATCAAACGGGATAGATTATTCAAACAAATAAGCAACTATTCATCAGCAGGGATTATTCTAGAGGTGAGAGTGGATTTTCATGCCAGTGGGAGAACAGTGGATGATGAATTAAAGATAATTAAAAGAATATGCGATATGGAATATTAGAAAAAAATTAAAAATAGCTGATGTATAGTAAAAAGAAATCTGGACTTGGCATTAAAATTCTCCAGTTGGAAGCAGCTCTCTCAAATTAACAGCTAGTAAATAACTCCTGAATATGAATTTCCTTTTTTATAAAATACAATTAGACATATGGAGCGTCCTTATTATCTGAGGATAATTCATGCTGGGAAAAGTGATATTTACCATGAGAATTAAATTATTTTAAATAAATAATGTTTAAATGGGCTTTTCCCTGGCATCAAAAGCATGCAGATAAGTTTATTTTCTCTAATATAAACTGTCATGTAAATGATCATTGCAACTATGCATTCATAGTTGCCACTGATATTTCAGTGATAATTTTAAAATGAGACATTACTTTTTGACTGACTTCTGCAGTTTGATCACAGAGTCTTTGAACTTTGACTCACTTTTCAGACATTTTCTCAAGAGCTATTTTTAATCTTTGGTGTACAGATCACACCATTTTGTACCCCCATTTGTTGTGGGTACAACTTGCATTTGCAGTAGAGCTTGACCAGCAAATCTCCTAATGCAGTCACACAACATGTGCATCAGGAGAAGGGGCTGTTGACTTGGGGATGGCTTGTAAATTGTCCGGTCATTAGGGAACATTTTGATATAAATATACTTCCTATAGAACTCATGATTATGGGGATTCAGGTAAATACTCAGAAGATGGGGACTGCTTGGACTTACTCCATATTGGTATATGAATCAAATATAGCATATAAACCATCTTGCAGCATATTTAAAATGTAGCAGATGCTTCTTAAACCTTTAAATATTTCTTTTAAAAATTATTTAATATCAATTTCTACGATATATAAGATATGCCAACTCTATTCCATTGTGTTAATAATATAAAATGCACACAGCTATGCAATCTGTAATGATTCAGACTGATTCCCAACCACTAAATCTCTTACACCTTAGCCTTAACTCCTTCAGTTCTCAAAATAAGAGTGAAAGTTGCTATATCCTCACTTTTCCAATATGAGAGTGGGAGAATTTTCTAGGACACTCTGGAGTCTTCTTACTTGGGTTTTTTTTTTTTTTTTTTCAATAATAGCATAAGAAAGAATTAGGATTCTCTTGGAACCTAAATTAAAAAGTAGGTATGAACAGTACAATGAGATATAGAAGTTGACTAATCTCAATAAAGGCTACAGAAGAGCTAATTCCTATAAAATGTCTCCAAATTAATAAAGATTCAAATTTTGGTAGGCTAAGTTGGCTAGCAGTTTTCTCTGAACCTACTAATCTCCTTCTTGGGGAATATCGGGCCTACTATTGAATTAACAATAATTACTTACAATGAAGAAAACAGGGTTGTGTGGTAAGACCTTCAGGAAAAAAAAAATGAGGCAGTATAGGTAGGGAAGGTGATACTGGTACTTGCATACCTATTGAAAACAAATTTGTTGATCATACCTCCATTGAACTCATCAGTAGTCAGCTTCACTCTGAAGATTCACTACAATGAAGATTTGGAAAATTCTAAGCAGGAAATACTGGCTACATTTTTGTCAATTTATGAATTCACTAAAGGAAAATTCAAATGCAATGGTTCTCTGTCCTGACTATACTTTCAGGTCCAGACAGCCAGCCACCTC